TTTGTTTTCCCTCTCACTTCACGTAATGGTTTTTGTTTGTTTTTCAGATGAGTTTGCAATTGCTGAGTACAATGCTCCTTGCAGCAAAGGTAAGCAATTCACACTCCTTCAAAAGACAGTCAGAATTCCTTTGGCTTGTCCCTCAAATCTCCTTCATAAAATTGTGGCTAAATATTTTTCATAGAGATCATATTGCTCACACTGCATATTATTATAGAGAAACACGTTTATTGGAAAGGGCCACTGACTCTATCAAACCTCAGGCAGCTCATAGGATTGCATCCCGGGCAATTATCTGTAATAGATTTCATTTTCCACTGTACCAGTTGGGTTTCCTTAGGCACTATGCTACCCAGATCTAAGGGAAAGAATACTCTCTGCTCATGGAAACTGAAGCTCGTCTTAATTTTCTTTTTCTTTCCACTATCAGATCAAGGAAATGCTTGAAGACCACATGAATGAAAAGTGCTTTACTGGAGTTTCTGTTCTCAGGACTCCACAGAAGACAAGTGTTGTTTTTTGTTTTGGTTTGGTTTTTTATCTCTAAAGACTTGATGAATAAACTTTTTTCTGGTCAATCTCTATCCCTGTTTCTTCATTCATTCAATAAACATTTCCATATGATTCCCAATAGAATCCTGAGATAAAAATCAATAGCAATCAAGGGCTGAAGGACTTCGGAATATGAGAAATGTTACAGCAACAGTGGTCTGAGCAGGCTTCGTGCAGGGGTTGCAGGGAAAAGAACAAAGTATTGGGTTATGTACTAGGAGAGTGTAAGGTGTGTTTGGTTATGCAAATACCCTGAGAAAAAGCCAAAGAGTGGATTTTTATGAAAAAACAGAAGACTGACTTGACCAGAAAAGACTTTTCACATTAAAAAGAAGTAATGAAATACAAAGTTGAGTAGGTTATATCAGGAGGCAGCATAATTGATTGGGACATGACCTGAACTGGGAGTTATGTGTCCTAATTTAGATCCAAATCTGCCACTGACTGATAAGAGTGATCGGTCAGTTAACCTTAGGTCTCAAATTCAATATGGATGATGGACTGAAAATGTTGATGGGGTGGTACAAGCAAAGGCAAGTTTTCTCAGAAGAAAGAATATATATAACTCAAATCCCAAATAGGAGTATGATACTGAAGCATCTTTCTTCTGGAACTTTAAGCCAGAATGAAAGGATAGCCATAAAGTGAAGGAGATATTCAGGTGCAGAAATCAGAGGTTTTACAATATCTAGTCTCTCTCTCTCTCTCTCTGTCATTTTCTTTGCAGTAAGTATTGTAATTATTCATTACGTGGAAGGGGAGGCTGATGCTTCAGGAGTTTGTAGAGAAGTGGGCAGGAGGTTAACACAGGAGGATTCAGAGCCAAGAGATTCTCTAGAGGCAGTACTGGGAGTCTTAGTCATTTGGCATAAAATGAGTGTTTGGTTTGACATAAGGTAAATGTGGATGTTATAAGCTAAGAACTTGAAAGGACTTTGAAGTTCAAGCAATCCTTAGCTCTGTGTTTAGGCTGGGCAAAAATAAAAAACAGAAGCTATAACATACGATTTTTTTCTTTAGCCTGTTAATATGATGGATTACATTAATTAATTTTTGAATGTTGATTTAGCCTCGTATAACTGGAATAAATCCCACTTTGCGTTGTGTATAACTATTTTTACACATTTTTGGGTTTGATTTATTAACATTTTATCAAGGATTTTTGCATTTTTGTCATAAGCAATATTGGTCTGTACTTTTCCTTTCTTGTAAGATATTTCTCTAGTTTTAGTATTAGGGTAACGCTTATCTCATAGAATGAATTAGAAAGTGCTCCCTCTGTTTCTCTTTCCTGGATGAGATTGTAGAGAATTGGTATAATTTCTTTAAATGTTTGGTAAAATTCATCACTGAACACATTTGGGCCTGGTGCTTTCTGTTTTAGAAAGTTATTACGTATTCAATTTATTTAATAGATACAGACCTATTCATATTATCAGTTTCTTTATGTAGGTATTTTAGTAGAGCATGTCATTCAAGGAATTGGTTCATTTCATCTAAGTTATCAAATTTGCATATAGTTATTCCTTTATTCTTCTCTTTTTCCATAAAATCATGGAATCAGTTGTAATGTCCCCTCTTTCATATTAGTAATTTGTGTCCTTTCTCTTTTTTTCTTGGTTAGCCTAGCTAGAGTCTTATCAATTTTATTGATCTTTTCTAAGAACCACTTATGGTTTAGTTGATTTTCTCTATTGATTTTCTGTTTTTGATTTCATTGATTTCTGCTTTTTTTAATTATTTCTTTAAGAAATTATTCTTCTGCTTACTTTAGATTTATTTCTTTTTCAGATTTCCTAATGTGGAAAATTAGATTTTGATTCTAGAACTTTCTTTCTCATATATTCATTCAATGCTATAAAGTTTCCTCTAAGCAGTGTTTTTGCTACATCCCACAAATTTTAGTAACTTATATCTTCATTTTTATTTAGCTCAACATATTTTTCAATTTCTCTTAAGACTTCTTGTACGCATGTGTTATTTAGAAGTTTGTTATTCAATCTCCAAATATTCAGGGATTTTCTAGCTATCTTTCTGTTACTGACTTCTAATTTATTGCTACTGCTATCTTAGCACATACTTTGGATGGCTTCTATTCTTTTAGGTTTGTTTAGGTGTGTTTTGTTTACCGGGCTGTGGCCTATCTTTGTGCATGTTCCACGTGAGCTTGAGAATGAGTGCTGTTGTTGAATGAATATAGAGGTCAATTAGCTCTAGTTGATTGGTGATGCTGTTCAATTCAAATAAATTCTTGCTGATTTTCTTCCTGCTAGATCTGTCATTTACTTGTAAATTGATGTTGAAATCTCCAACTATAATAGCAGATTTGTATATTTTTCCTTGCAGTTCTGTCAGTTTTGGCCTCCGTGTATTTTGACACTCTGTTATTAGGTATACAAAAATGCAGTATTGTTATGTCTTCTTGAAGAAATGACCCCTTTATCAACATGTAATATCCCTCCATATCCTTGACAATTTTCCTTGCTCTGAAATGTGCTTTGTCTGAAATTGATATAACCATATCAGCCTTTTTATTATTATTATTATCATTAGTAGTAGTAGTAGTAGTAGTAGTAGTAGCGCTAGCTGGCATATTTTTCTCCATCCTTTACTTTTAATCTATGTCTTTATATTTACAGTGGGTTTGTTGTAGACAACATATAATTGGGTCTTCTTTTTTAATCCATTCTGATTGTCTCTGTCTTTTAATTGATGTACTTAGACCATTCACATTCAAATTGATTATTCATATATTTTTATTAATCTCCACCTTGTTTTAGCTGTTTTCTATTCATTGTCCTTATTTTTTCTCCTTTTTTTAACAAAAAAACCCTCTTTTCTGTCTTCTCAGGTTTTAATTGAATATTTCATGATTCCATTTTGTCTCATCTCTTAGCATATCAATTATACTTTTTTAACAAAAAAATATTTAGTGCTTGCCTAAAGATTTCAATATACATCTACAACTAATCTAAGTCCACCTTCGAAAATCACTTTGCTGCATCACAGACAGTACGTGTACCTCGTAACAGCATTCCCCATACCTCACTTTCATCGTTTATAGCATTCCTGTCATATAGTTCACTTATCCATAAGTTATAATCATCCAATATTTTGTTGCTACTAATATTTCAAACAAACTGTTCTGTTAGTAAAGAATATGAAAAATAAAAGACTTTATTTTACCTTCATCTATTCCTTCTGAAATGCTCTTCCTTTCTTTACATAGATCCAAGTTTCTGGCCTATCATTTTCCTTTTCTCTGAAGAACTTCTTTCAACATTTCTTACAAGGCAATAATTTCTCTCAATTTTTGTTCTTCTGAGAAGTCTCTATTTTCCTTCATTTTTGAAGGATAATTTACCTGGATACAGAATTCTATAATAAATTGATGAGTTTTTTTCTTTCAATACTTTAAATATTTTACTCCACTCTCCCCTTGCATGGTTTTTGAAGAGAAGTCCGCTATAATGCTTCTCCTTCTTCCTCCAGAGACAAGGTTTCCCTTTCCCCCTTTCCTAGCTTCTTTGAAGATTTTCTAATAGTCTTTGATTTTTTGCATTTTGAATTTGATATGCCTAGGTATAGATTTTTTGGTATTTATCCTGCTTGGTGTTCTCTGAACTTTCTCAGTCTGTGGTTTGGTGTCCATCAATAATTTTGGAAAATTCTCTATCATTATTACTTCAAGTACTCCTTTTGTTCCTTTCCCTTTTTTCTCCTCTGGTATTCCCATTACATGTATGTTACACCTTTTATAATTGTTACATGATTCTTGGATATTTTGTTCCATTTTTTTTTTTCAGGCTTTTTTATCTTTGACTTTTAGTTTGGAAAATTTTCACTTCTATTGACATATCTTCAAGCGCACTGATTTCTTTCTTCAGCCATGTCCAGCCTACAGATTAGCCCCATCAAAGGCATTCTTTATTTCTGTGACTGTACTTTTATTTCTAGCATTTCTTTCTTAGAGTTTTAATCTCTTTGCTTACATCACCCATTTCTTCTTGCATGTTGTCCGCTTTTTCCATTAGATCTCTTTGCATAGTAATCACGGTTATTTTAAATTGCCAATCTGATAATTCCAAAATCTCTGTCATATCTTAGTCTGGTTCTGCTACTTGCTTTGTGTCTTCAAAATATGGCTTTTTGTCTTTTAGCGAATCCTATAGTTTTTTGCTGAAATCTGGACATGATATATTGGGTAAAGGAAACTGAGGTAAATTGGTCTTTAGTGTGAGATTTTATGTTTATCTAGCTAGGAGTTTGGCTGTGTTTATTCTGCTATAGCTGTAAGTATCAGAAGCTGAAATGTCCTCTATTGCCCTTGTTTTTGTCTTTGGGTTTCCCCAGAGATTTCTTAATTAGGGTCTAAGCCTTGCAGTTCAGATGTAATTGCCTGTTATTGTACAGGAGCCCTTTTGATGTGGGGAGAAGGAACTAAAATCGTATGATTAGTATTAGGTATCAGTCCTTCAGTGAACCTGTGCTCCTGTTGCTTCTGTTAAAGGCTAGAAAAGGCTGAAGTTGAGTATTTTTCCTTCCTCTACCAAGATTGGGCTCTGGTAAAATAATTACCCTTGAAGCTAGGCTTTTGTTAAATAGAACAGAAGGTTCTGGATATATTTCGAAATGGCCACTGTTTCCCACCCCAGAAGCATGAGGAGAATTTTTCTCTGATCTTCACGGTGAGAACCTGGTGGGACTTCCAGAAGTCAAATTCACAAATGTGTGAGGGCCTTCTTAAGGCTGGGCCTCCAGGATATGTTATCTCTCAAGTTAATGCATGTTCAGTCTCCAGCAATTAGTCAATCACCCTTCAAGTTCTCCTACCCTGATGCTGGCTACAGTGGTGGTATCTGCTCTCACTACTCTGTGATTCTCTGTATCTACCTGTCTCTTCAGTTTTCTGAGTGGTAGTTTGCCCCATCACCTCAATTCTTGAATGAATCTAAGAAAAGCTGTTGATTTTCAGTATTTCAGTTTTTTCCTTGTGAGGATAGGAGTGGTGACTTCCAAGCTCTTTATATGT